TTTAGGTTGTTTAGTTAGCATAATTCAATCAGACGTTCTCCGTTATCGTTTTGTTCATGAATCACATATAAATCAATACTACAATATGTAATAACAACTTTAGAAACTATGCCGTCAATTTTTATCGGTACAGGTTACTACACCGGTAAGGTACACTTACCACTTAAGGGGAGCCAAACATATTTGTACTGCCGCCGTACAAAAATATTGGTACCAGTAGCAGAGACAATCTTTGATTTTCGGAAAATGTTGGCCCCATTTTCGACCATTTGATACAGTACGGCCTTCATATATACTTTCGGATCGTTATTTTGACTACCTTTTTTGCAGTGCCGTACACATCGGCTCGTACAAGAGTGAGAAATCTAAGGCGCACCCCTCTATTTTTTAGTAGTACAATAGAGATGAGATGAACCAACATGAAATTCACTGATTTAAATTTAGTTGTATAAAATAATAACAGTTTTGGACTTGTCGTTCATTTTTCACGATACATGTGCTTATGAGAGGAAAATTAATTTTCCTCTGATAAGTGGGATCTTACGATCAAAAATTTCTGTACGGCATTGATATATTTTGCTAATATTGACATTAATTATAAACAACAACAAAAGGACGTGCAAAAAAATGGTTCAAATGGCTTTAAAAGTATTATAGTCGAGGTTGTGAGGCCGCTCCCGTAGGAAAAATGTTTCTTATTCGGTTTATTTACGGATTTCTGTTAAAAATGATCACTTTAATCAAATCAAAAGGGTGACGGGTAAAATTTTTTGGCAGAAATTGTTTAAATATATTTTTTACACAAATTTCAAAAATCACCCGTTTTTGTTCCGAGAAACGTTTTTTTAGTCGATTTCAAGTTATGTATAAACAATTTAAAATCTCAAAAAAGCGGAAACACGCATTTGAGGCTGGAAAACTCATGAAAATGATTATTTTTCATGTTGTTAAGTGCCTAAATTGAAGAGCGGTTTTGATAAGGTCTATTATCGAAAATCCTTTGCACCCCATATTTCAAGATGACGAGTCAACTTCGAGAAAAACCCGGTCAATTTCGGAGCGCTGTGATAATGAATGTCTTATGTCAAAACAATAAAAGACTTAGGAGGCCAAAGGAGTCACACTTGATGAACAGTTGATTTTTGTACAACATATAAATAATTTAACAGCAAATTCATTAAAATCTTAGGGCTTTATCATTCACAACTGTCTGAGACACAACTGATTCACAACATTTTGCCAATTATAGTGTCCCGAGCGTTATCATTTCAGACAGAGGATCTTGTTTTACCTCTCATCACTTTAAGGAATTTTTGGAGGAGTATGCGATTAAACACATACTGATTGCAAGTGGTTGTCCGAGAGCCAATAGGCAAATAGAACGCATGAATAGGTTATTGACACCTCTTCTAGCAAAGACAACGGATAGAAAACAAATCAACTGGCCAAATGCATTACATGAAGTGGAATTCTGCATGAATAATACAATAAATAGATCAACAGGAGAATCCCAAGCTAAGTTGCTTTTTGGAAGAGATCAAATCGGGAAGATTAGGGATAATTTAAGAGAAGCATTACAAGATATTGATAAGGAAGAACGGAATTTAGAAATGATTCGAACTAAGGCAGAAGCACAAATAATTAAGACACAAAATGTAAATGAACAGTATTATAACAAGAAGCATAGGGAGGCTCAAAAGTTTAAGGTGGGTTATGATTTAGAACGTAGACACAACCCCTGGAGTAGCTAAAAAACTTATACCAAAATTATGAGGACCATATGAGATTGTGAAAGAGCTACCAAATGATATGTATATCGTAAATGATATTGTTGGGTTCCAAACAACACAAATACCATATGAGGGAATTATAGACAGTAGTAGGATTAGGGCTATGATAAATAATTAATTTCATTATTAGTTATGGTTAAAATAATTATGTTTCATTTTTATTCAATTATGTTTATGCTTATTTATAATCCATTACTTGTACCATTATGTTAAGACAGTTAGGATGTGTTATGGATATTATGACTCCCATTTGGACCCCTATGAACACATCAATCCATTATGTATATTATGTCAAGCCAATCTGTTTGGGCTTTAAGAACAGTTTATTATGCTTTGGTCATATCTAAAGTAGACTATGCATCAATTGTATGGTCTTCACAATATCAAATTCATTCATATACTTTGGAGAGATTGCAAAACAAAATTTTAAGATATTGTGCATATTATAAATTCAACATTATTAATCATTATTATACAGATATTTTAAAAACACTCAACATGAATTTTTTAAAAACCCGACGAGATAACTCTGATTTAGTATTTGTATTTAAATTAATAAATGGTTTAATTTATTCTTCTGAACTTCTCCAATCTATTACTTTATTATTCCTTATAGTTCCCCCCAGAAGTCTTAGACATGTTGATTTGTTTTATATACCTTTTCACTGTACAAACTATGGTATACTCGGTTCGCTAATCCCAGTCCGAACTGTCTAGTGATTTTAGTAATTATATTTTTACGAAGTTAGTTACTTTTTGACAGACCAGAAGTGACTGGAAATTACTATATGAACAAGCACACGTGAGCATAGCGCATTTCATTACAGTATTTCGTCCACCTCTTTTGCAAGCTTATACGACTTATATAACTTAGAAATTTATAGCACATATAACGATAGTAAGTTTCTATTATATATAAAAAATATAGTTTATAAAAAAGTTACCGTAATTTAGTTTATATCGTTAGGTTACGCCAAATGTAGGCAACCAACTTAAACTTTTTGTTAGCATTTAGCTGGAGTTTCTTGAGAATATATTTAATTTTATTATTATTTTTTAAAGTTGTGATAATAATGTTGAATAAGCAATATTTTAAATGATATATAATCACAAGACGTACTTAATATTGTGCTATATAATATAATCCTCATAATAAAGTACGTTAGATAAAAAATATAATATTCATATTATAATTAAAAAATATCATGCATCAAAAAGATAATACAATATCATCAAAAATATAATTCAAAAATATTATAGTATTCTATTATTTCTATCATAACCTAGTTTTTTTCTAATTCTAGCTAATTTCTATTAGAAACATAGTTTATTATGAGGATTATATAACATAATATTAAGTTGTTGTAGGTTTCCAACAATGAATCTGTCAAAATATGCCTGAGCTAAGCGAATGGAGTATATGTATTGGCCCATTGAATAGTATAATAGGAATAATTTAAAAATGTTTGGTGTCTCCTTGGCTTCATGTAAAGATTAATTCATTTTGTTTCATATATAATTAATATTTGATTTTATTTATAATTAAGAATTTAATTTCACTTAGTTTGTAAGCAATTACAGAGAATGATTTTTACACTGTATGTTAACATATTTTTTTGTGATCTTGTATATTAATAAATAATAAATAATAAATAATAATAATAATCTTGTATAGTTAAAGATAATGGTGATAAAAGAAATGTAACTCTGAAACTCTAAATACTAATGTGTGTGTTTTATTCATAAAAAGATGTTTTTCAACATTTTCAACATTCATTTGAATGTTGAAAACAAGGTAGAGCAGTTGAAGAACATCCCAAATTATATTCCAGTGACGCATTTTATAGTCTGTACACTGTACAACCGAACAATATAGAATGCTTCTATCTGCGATTGCTGTTAATCAATGTACATGGACCAACATCCTTCCAAGATTTAAGAACAGTCAACAGTCAGCATAACCATTTATCGAAAAGCTTGGGAAGAATAATGCCGATAGGGACATTGCACTCATTGATTCATCAAATACGGATCGACCACAGCAAATACACACGTTATTTGCCATAATATTGACAACCTACTTTCCATCTAATCCAAAAGATCGTTGGAAAACATACAAGGACTGCATGAGTGAAGATATTCTACATCAAATAGGCTCTGTATCAAGATCTGAACATTCAATTCACAGCAAATGCGTATAATGAGGCATTGATTTTGTTTGAAGACATATGTTTGGCAATAGCTACTAAGGCACTGGCGCAACTGTGAATGCTTGCTTCAAAACCGACCACCGAACGACCTTTTCGATCGTGATTTGCAACGAGAAACACACTTTCATTCTAACAAGCTGGAGACAGTTTTGTTCAGACAAATCTTCTGCAGTTTGTTCCAGAACAACGCATTGCATATAACAGAATTATATGTGCAATCAAAGAACAAAGCAGCAGACTATTTTTCATACATGTGCCCAGTGATAAAAGCAAGACTTTTCTTCTTTCATTCATTTTGGCAACCATACAATCACAACATAATATTGGACTGGCAATTGCATCATCTGGAATTGCGGCAACTCTTTTGGATGGTAGCCGAAAAGCATGTTCGGACTAAACTGTTGTTGAATTTTCAAAACACAATGAATATACAATGTCTCATAAGAAAGTATTGGGAGCGCTTGATCGTACACTGCGAAATTTATGAATGTTTTATTGTCTGGTAATTTTCGACAAATACTGCTGGTTATACTACATTTAACACCCGCTGATGAACTTATTGCACATCTCAAATCATCAGTTTTATGGCGTCATTTACAGAAATTGACTTTAAAAGCCAACATGGTGTACAACTATAATGAGATGCATCGGCTGGGAATGCAAAACTGCAACAACTTATATATTATAAAACTTATAAACACAACTTCACCATTCAGAATGGAATACCCAGCGAAATGACAACATATACGTCTATCGGTACTGTGGTGAATCAAGACAAGTTGTCAACTATCCAACTGCAGTCTTGAATTCACTTGATTTGTCAGGCATGCCACTGTACATTCTTACATTGAAAATTGGCGTACCCATCATTCTTCTTCGAAAAACATATATCCACAATGACATTGTAATGGAACCAGACTCTCAGTCAAGAAAATTATGAACAATGCTATCGAGGTAACAATTTTGACTGGAAAATTCAAAGGTGAAGACATACTGATGCCTATGATCCCAACAGATATGCCATTTGAATTCAAATATTTACAGTTCCTGGCCGCTTTCGACTCGCTTTCATAATGACTATCAAAAAAGCAAAGGACAATTGTTGCAAGTGTGTAGATTAAATTTGGAGAATCAATGCTTCTAACATGGGTAGCTCTATGTGGTCTGCTCACTCATCAGAAAACCTTCTGATTTATTCATTTACGCATCAGAAGAAAAAACAAGAAATATTGTGTGTCACACAGCACTTCAATAAGTATCAAATTGAAATGAAACACTGCAATATCATAATTTTTTCGAAATGAACAAAATCAATAAAATGACTCAAAATGAATTGAACATTTATGAACTGTTTTTTCTTTAAATTTATTTTAGTTGGAGGTGTAGCAAAGCGCACAATGTACAGCTTATTTCAAATAAAGAAGTATCACACAAAATAGGTTAAGTGAAATATTTGTGGCCTTGAAACTTTCATCAATGGACTAGTTTAGCAACAGATCGACTGTTACAAGTCACACAAGATTGAGAAAAATATAGGCAAACTGTCATGGGGGGTCACTAATATTCTTCTCTGCATAAAGGGTGAGTTGTTGTCTGCTGAATGATGTTAGGATCTAATATCTAATATGTTATAGATGTTCAGTAATGCTATTTCTCTATAGTTATTGCAGTTTGTTGGTTCTCCCTTTCATAAATACTAACATTATTTTCCTTTCATTTTGGTCTTCAGGTATTTTTCTATTTCCCATATTTTGCTCTTGATTTATAGATGTTTATTATAAATTTTGTACCCCTGTTTTTAATTAATTTCTTAGATATTTTGTCTGGATATTGGGTCTTTATCCCATGATATCAATTGTCCACTGTTTTATATTCTTCTTCTTTCATATTTCCTTTTCATAATCCCAGTGAAATTTCCATGTTTTTTATTGATTTTAACCTCTGATGTACATTTCCATTTTTTCCTATTTTTCCATCCAAACAATCTAGAACTAAGTATTCTTTTTTTAATCTTTTAACAATTCATTCACTGCTTGCCTTTTGTTGTATTTATAGCATGTATCAGTTTTCTTTTATCTTTGTAATTTATTAGGTAATTATCTTTTCTCAATCAATCAGTCTTTAACGGGTAAACAAATAGATACAGATGATGAAGACATTGACAATTTCTTCACAAATACTTAATGAATTTAAAAATTCAGATAAAAATGCCAAGGAAACTATAATATAGAAAGAAAGAAAGATATGCCTGATATAACATAAGAATGCAGATGATAAGGAACCAATTAGCTTATACATAAGAACTGTGGAGCTATAGAATCTCCAAAATATTTCAAAAATAAAACCAAAATTAATAAAATAAAGAAAGGAAAAAAACACAAAAAGATTCAATTAAATTATTGATACTGTTAGATAGGCAACATACATCACATGTCTTATGATACATATTGTACAAAACTGGCTCAGCTTGAGCTGTGAACTACTAAGCATTTACACATATGCAATATCAAATGTGAGATACATTTTCTGCAGGAGTATTAAATAAAGCTCTGAATGGGTTATAGAGTGTAAGGCACCCAAATATGTTGTGCAATATTTCAACATGATTTACAACTCTCAGTATCATTGCACAATCATCACAATATTGACTGTTATATGGGCTATTTTATACAAAAGCAACAATCAAATCAAAACTTTTACTTCACACCTTTACCTCATAAATATGTGTATAAACATGTCTCCCCTAGTTGGTTTTCATATCTAAATAAAATGTATGATTTACATTTGAGTGTTTTAAGCATAAACTATTATGTTTTCATATAGTTCTGCTTCCCTCTTTCTCTCATCTCCCCCTTTGTCTCTTTTCCTCTTCCATTCTCTTTCTTTATCCCTCCTTTGCTACATCTTTTTCACTCATCTTCCTCTCACTCTCTCCCACTTTACACCATTCTTTCTCCCACTCACATATTTTTTCTCACCCTCCTTACATCACTCTTTCTATCCCTCTTTACAACCTCCTTTCCCTCCCTCTTGTGTTACTCTTTTTTCACCTCTTTGAACATCCCTTTATTCCACTACTTGTATCTCCTATCCTCCTAATTTTTTATCTCCCCCTTTATAATGCTCTTCATCTTCCTCACTATTTCTGTCCATCTCTATTTCTCTGTCTATTTATTTTATTATCTTATTTGTTATTTTTCCCTTTCATGGTAGCAAAAGTATAACCATAGAACAAAAACATTGATGCCAGCAGAGGAATTTGCAATAGATAAAGTGAATTGTGAAACAATGTGTACCTTTATGAAACAGAGAAAACATTAAGTAGCTAACATTTAAACTGAAAACAAAAAATTATCAAGTGATAGGAAAATATAAATAACTAAACTTGTAAATATTTCATAGATGAAAATAATTATTATGTACAAGATTTAAATTAATATTAGCCTCTCTTGTATTCTCAACTTGTGCAATGTTTAGCAACACTGACACTGACTTCTAAAATGCAAAACAAAACAAACTATAATGATGATCAACATTAACATTGTCCCTACGATTATACCAAATTCTTATTATAGGAAAATATGAAAATCAAAAGAAAAATATTTATTTTGACTATATATACACAGAGGGTATATTGGCTGAAGTACCTGATTATTTTGTTAACTAAATTATTACTTACTAAATTATATTCTTAGTAACTAGAGTACCTAAAATTTTATATCCTAATTTATATAGCATTTAAAATTTAAATGCAAATCATTAACAGAATCTATAATATTGTTGGTTTTATAAAATGACTTACATTTTGGTTGAGTTCCAAAGCCTGATTGAGCGGTGTTACCAAAATTAAACGCCATTTTAAATTCACTTACAAAGACACACTACAATACAAAACAATACCACTAATGTTTAACAAAACTATATATTCGAGAAAAAAAGAAACTATTTCGGCATTTGAATCCAAGAGTATTCAAAACAATGAACATAACCACAAAAAATTTTGCAAGCACAGATTATGCTTTTGACAGTCTAACAGAGCTACCAATATAAAGAAATCTTCACTATCTTGGATGAATCCATGATACTATGACCACAGAATAATAAACAATCAGAATGCCCACTCTCCATGGAAAATTAAGTACGCGCAGACGTTCCGCCATGTTTTAGAGGGAACCAGTTTTGTTTATGTGGTGTACATAGAAAAATTAACCCGGTTTAATTGACTTACGGCAATCATAGACATACTTATTATATTAACAATGTTAAATATAATACCATAAATATAATATAATTAAACATAAATATAAACAATTACATAACCTCACAAATCATATGTCTGTGTTATGTGTTTCCTTCTAAAACATGGCGCGCGTGCTGAAAAACTTCAAAGGTGGCATCTGTGAGTGGGCATTCTGATTGTTGATTATTCTGTGGTAAATTATAATAAAAATAAAAACATTTATTGCCATATCAAACCTTAACATTTCAAATTCTAAAAATTTTTGCCTTCTTTTCTTCAGCGTACCGCTCTTGCACCGCTATCTTCTGAGTCTTCTTCCTCTGGGGTCCTGGATCTTTCTGGGTGGTGTCCTCGTCTGCTTCTGTAGGTACTGTATCGGCAAACGTACCTACTTCCCTGCAAGCCTGGCTAGTGGATCATGTGGTCGACGAGTCTATGAGTTTCTCGGTGTATCCTCTGCATCCTGTTTTTCTCGAGGATATCCCTGGTTTTTCGCAGTCTTCTTGTGGCCTGGTTGAAGAACCACCTGGTCCTGTTCTCGGCCACCTCCCTCAGTGGCGTGAATCCTAATCTGTGGTAAAGGTAACCTTTATATATTAAATATTTTCACCAGAGATATGTCCACAGATTATAAGACGATATGTCACTCTCTTACATATCTCTGATTTTCACATAAAGTTCATCTTTTTGTCAATGGCCTCTTGCGTAAGTAGTCATCCAGTCGCAGGAACTTATATCTTAAATATTATAATTCAAATTAATAAAATAAAAAGGCGTAATTACTTTTACTATTAATTCTGTGTATTCGTTCATTAATTAGTTTACAATATTTGAGTTCATAATTTTGTATTTTTAGATAAATATCTATTTTTCTCGTTTTGCATATTTAACTTACAGCGATTTTACAAGAAAAGTACAAGTTTCAAACTGCGAGAGGGCGCTACCGGCGAAACTCACAGTGAATATTCATTTTTAAAAATTACTAACGAGATATAATTATTTTTTTGCATTTGAAGGAAGGGCGATTCCAGGATATGTTTATTTCGCATAACTATGCCATTTTAAATTCGTAACAGTAGTTTTATACGATATTTTTTCCTTGCAAATGTTACATTTTGCATAAATTTCATCAAATTCTCTGCGTAATTAAATTTCTTAAGGTTGATCTTCACCCTTGATTTATTTGTTTCTGACCCTAGAGATGGCTCTACTGTGGCATGCTGATGTGGTAAATATTTTAACTCGTTTTAACTTAATTGTAGATTTCTACATAATGACTGTAATATTTTCAAACCCTAACATAAATTTTCTATCATTATATCCATTATGACTGAGTTGCCAAGTTGTGTAGACAGTAATTTTATCAAATACACTATAACTTATTGAAATGATAAAGCAAAACCTAGGATATAAGATTTTAATATAAGTTTGTGTTAGTCTGCATACAGACTAACACAAACAGTAATGTCTAAAATACAACTTAGATTCTACTCTAAACATAAAACTTAATTCTTAAATATACAACAAATCAACATAAATTGTACACATGTTAACAAAAACAATAAAATTAACATGGCAGTGACAGTGACTTCTGTCAAACACTGGACATCATAAAGTTGCCTAAAATATTCGAAGTCTACAGCCAAAGCAATACCAAAAGGTTAATATCACATCATTCTCCCACACTTTAATATCCAAATACCGTGGTAAATGACGAATTCTTTCAGATCTTCTAGGCAGTGCTGAAGGAGGCGATAAGCTCTGTACAAAACTCATTGGGGGTTTTTCAAGAAATAATGAATCCAGTGGAGGGGGAGATGTAGATGTATCTGCCAGGGGCTGCATGTTTTGCGTGGTTGTATTGGATGAGGAATCATTAAGATTCGAATGTAACTCATGTGGGTCTTCTACGAACACTGATTCTTGACCTGGTATATCTAGTATTTCCCCTTCAACTCGACCACTCGAAGCCAGATGACGATTAGACACTGTGGTCTCCCGTCCGTCTTTCAGTTTAACAAAAGAGTATTCAGGATTTGCTTCCTCTACGATAAGCTGGTACTTGTTTTTCCGATCGAACCTTTTCATCAAGACATGCCCAGATTTTGCTAGCCATGACGGTATTGTATTCCCATTTGGAGATCGACCTATGTGCACGAACATCCTTTCATGCGGCGTACAGTTAGTTGCGGTACACAACAGCGAACGAATGGAATGCAGCACGACAGGTAGGTATTGTTCCCAAGTCTCAATAGGTGCTTCATGTGATTCACAGGCTAGTTGAATAGCTTTCCAGGCACTAGAATTCAGCTTCTCCACTTGACCATTTCCTTGAGGATTATAAGCAGTAGTTCTACTTGTTGCGATTCCTCTGGAGTTGAGAAACTCTTTGACTTCAGCTGATAGAAATTGAGTCCCTCTATCCGAATGAATATATGCAGGCATTCCAAATATCATGAATAAGTTATTTAAATTCTTGATTACTGTTTTGGCACTAATGTGACCGCATGGGAAAGCAAATGGGAATCTGGAATACTCATCTATTACCGTAAGAATATAACGATTATTGGTATTCGAATGCACATCCTTTAAAGTCAATACTAAGGCGTTCGAAGGGAGATGTGGCTTTTATAAGCGTTGGAAAAAGCCCCTCATTCTTAAAGTACCTCGGCTTGATTTTAGCACATAAGCTGGATTTTCATAGATCCGATATCCGATGACACGAAATACGAATTTTTTTCGTATGAATATATTTGATTGTCGTATCCGAAATTTTTTGACATACATTTCATATGTATGTGTTATGTGTCAGATTATTGGATGGATTCGATGGATTGATATTTATTTCAATGCACTGTCAATAAATCTTAGCTATTTTGTTTAATATAATATATATTGTATTGAGCTACGGTCCCGTCGTTTTTGCCTCACATAGCGTAGAAGACCCAAAAGCAACACTTTATTAATTGCATTTTTATTTAATAATTAGGTATTTGTTCCATTTTAAATATATTTCAAATATTAAACATAAACACTTCACAAAAATAATGTTAAGGTTCAAGTAAAATGTCAACAATGTCAAAATTCATCCGATTTTCGTGTAAAGTTAAAATATTTTTAACTTCTTCCGATGACTTTTAGTTTCGTACGAAAATCCCACCTGTCATTTTTCAACCAATGAAATTCGCTGAAATTTATATCGTATCATCGTACCGTCGGATATCGGACCTGTGAAAATCCACCTATACTCCACAGTCACCATTCATAGTCATAGATAAATAATATAATAGTAGAAATAGATAGGCAACTCAATGTATAAATTTCGTTCATTAGGCCCCTTGCGGCTGGGGTCAATACTAATCATCTTTTGGCGGCAAATTCGAATGAACACCCCTTACATACATACCCTTTAGCGCCTCTTGTGGGCTATTTCGTTACTAATTAAAATTTATTGGAAAATAAGGATATAAGATGCACAATTTTTTCTAGATATATGTATATTTATTTGTTGTTTAAGATAAAACAGTTATAAAAATAATTACATAATATTTATTACACATATTTGCAGAAATTAAATACTATTATTTTTTGCTTCCTGACAACTTACTATATCATCCTTTTTGTAATTTTTCCATGATTTGTACACAACAAACAATACAATAATTCACCATGTTTAGTTTTGTTACTAGCACTATACAAAAATTCTTTGCTACAATAGGTAACTCAAAAAAAACTTTAAAAATTAAGTAACCAAATTTAAATTAAAATTACTAAGAACCTAAATGCAAACGAAAGTTAAAGATAATAAATAAAATTGAAAACTTGTAAACAAGCGGAAGATCTGTCATTAATTTGGATTGACAGAATTGACATTGCTTCGTTTGATTATGTTATTTGGTTTATGATTGGTTAAAGTCTTCGTGAGAGAGATAGGCTGTCATTTCTCTTTATTAACTCGCTGGGGTCAAAGTGATGGGGGAATGAACCAAGTCGTTCATATAAGATTCCAGGCCATGATTCATAGTCTTGACTTCATTGAGAGAGAAAGGCAAATTCTTCGATTTTATCCAATGAAACATACGTGTTACCCCTGGATGACAAAGTGCAGTGTGAAGTGACTTGCGTTTTGATGTATCTGCCGCCGTGGTAGTAGCACAAGAGCAGATGCGCGATAAAGCATCCGCTGCTTGGTTGTCTTTTCCTGGTCGATACACAATGTCATATTTATAAGGTGCCAATTCAAGTCGCCATCTTTGTATTTTCTCATTTTTAATCTTACTGTAATGCTTCGTGTTGAACATAAATGTTACACTTTTGATCAGTAATGATTGTGAAAGGCTTTCCTATAAGAAAATGGCGCCACTAATTTAGAGATTCAACAATAGCGTATGCTTCCTTCTCCACAGCAGAATGGTTCAGCTCACTAGAGTTAAGTGATCTTGAAAAGAAAGCAACGGGTCTGGAATC